CATTATCTTCTAACAGCTTTCCTTTGCAGGGATATTTTGCCGCTTCCGGGCTTGACTCCAGATAAATACAAAGTATCGCTCTACTGCTTCAGGGACTTTGAGCCCTCCAAGGTATGCATGTTATATTATTATAACACTTCGCATTCTTAGCTTGCCTTGCTTGCAGATGCATCACACGGAGGATACGCGTGCCTTTTTCATGGTCACCGACTGTCGGTTCGTGACAGTCGATGATGAGGCTCACAAGGAGCAGCTGTCGGAGGGCGAGGTGCAGATCTTCGATATGAAGGGCACCACCATGCGTCACATATCGCGTTTGACGATTAGCACATTGCGTGCTTACATCAAGTTCCTGCAGCTGGCCTTTCCAGTGCGCCTCAAGGCCATTCACATGGTTAACTGTCCGACGTATTTGGATCGCATTGTGAGCGTGGTGAAGCCATTCATAAGCGATGAGGTCTTCAAGTTGGTAGGATATGTAAAAATTTTAAGCTTTTATCATAAGTGCATAATGAATTTATTTCCATTCAAGATCAAATTTCACACATCCAGTATTGACTCTTTGTATGCATTTGTGCCTCGTGATATGCTGCCGGAGGAATATGGTGGCTCTGCCGGGTCGCTGGCCACATTGCGGGCGCAGACCCAACAGGTCTTGGCGGAGAAGAGGCAAGTGAAAACCATTTGAAGAAGATTATTTTAATGCAGTGGAATGACTATATTTTTAACATTTCTCTTTTAGGGACTATTTAATGAATCCCAATCACTGGGTCGTCGAGAAACCCGAGAAGCGTAACGGTAAATCGTGGAAGCTATTTAACTGAGGAGTAGTTGACGTGTGACTCCCTTTTTTTTTTATCAAATTTATTGTTTAGCTTTGTTTCTAATTATGTGGCTTTTGTATGTGCTATGTACAATGTATTTCTGTTTTGTATATAATAAAAGCGTGGGATTGTTTTTAAAGGGCTATTAAACAGAAATTTACTACTGTTTATTTGTGTTAAAAACAATTGTAAAATATTAAATGATGTATTTCTTTTACGTTAAATACGTTGCAAAGAGCTATCGAAACAGCTATTAATTCTCATCGAAATATATGAAATCGTACTCGATAGCAAATACGTTGCACTGTGAATAGCAGATTGTTAGGAAGAAGAGGAAGCATTTGCAATGAACACATCTCTAATGCCGTGTTTATTTTGAGCGAGTGTGCATAAAACTCCGCTTAAATCAAGGTTTTATATTAATTTAAAAGCGGCGCCGACAACTAATACAGAAACACAGCATGGATCGGCCACAGAAAATGCCCAAGGTGGCAAAGGTAAGACCGGCATATGTTTTCAAAGCCAACGCAACGCAGTCCAACATAAACGTTTTTGTTTTCAGGTCAAAAATAAAGCGCCCGCCGAGGTGCAAATTACCGCAGAGCAGCTGCTGCGCGAGGCGAAAGAGCGTGACTTGGAGATATTGCCACCGCCGCCCAAACAAAAGATTTCCGATCCAGCCGAATTGGCCGACTACCAACAGAGGAAGCGGAAAACATTCGAGGATAATCTGCGCAAGAATCGCATGGTGGTCAGCCACTGGATCAAGTACGCCCAATGGGAGGAGCAGCAGCAGGAGATACAGCGCGCACGCTCCATATGGGAGCGAGCGTTGGACAACGAGCATCGAAACGTAACCATTTGGCTGAAATATGCCGAAATGGAGATGAAGAACAAACAGGTGAATCATGCACGAAACCTTTGGGATCGTGCTGTCACCATAATGCCACGCGTCAATCAGTTTTGGTACAAGTACACCTACATGGAGGAGATGCTGGAGAACGTGGCCGGGGCGCGGCAGGTCTTTGAGCGCTGGATGGAGTGGCAGCCGGAGGAGCAAGCGTGGCAGACCTACGTCAATTTCGAGTTGCGCTACAAGGAAATCGATCGCGCCCGTGAGGTCTACGAACGCTTCGTTTACGTGCATCCCGATGTCAAGAACTGGATCAAGTTCGCACGCTTCGAGGAGACGCATGGCTTTATACATGGCGCTCGTCGTGTCTTCGAGCGGGCCGTCGAATTCTTTGGCGATGAGTACATCGAGGAGCGTCTGTTCATAGCCTTCGCACGCTTCGAGGAGGGGCAGAAGGAGCACGATCGTGCGCGCATCATTTACAAATATGCGCTCGATCATCTGCCCAAGGATCGGACGCCGGAGCTATTCAAGGCCTACACCATACACGAGAAGAAGTATGGCGATCGGGCGGGCATCGAGGATGTGATCGTCTCCAAGCGCAAGCATCAATACGAACAGGAGGTGGCCGCCAATCCGACCAACTACGATGCCTGGTTCGATTATCTGCGCCTGATCGAGGCCGACGGCGACAAGGAGCAGATCCGCGAGACCTACGAGCGGGCGATTGCGAATGTGCCACCCGCCAAAGAGAAGAACTACTGGCGTCGCTACATCTACATCTGGATCAACTATGCGCTCTATGAGGAGCTCGAGACGGAGGACATACAGCGGACGAGGGAAATCTACAAGACCTGCCTGGAGCTAATACCCCACAAGGTGTTCACGTTCAGCAAGATCTGGCTGATGTACGCCCAGTTCGAGCTGCGCTGCAAGGAGCTGCAAACGGCGCGCAAAGCCCTGGGCATGGCCATCGGCATGTGTCCCAGGGACAAGCTGTTCCGCGGCTACATCGATCTGGAGATACAACTGCGCGAATTCGAGCGCTGTCGCCTGCTCTACGAGAAGTTCCTGGAGTTTGGCCCCGAGAACTGTGTCACATGGATGAAATTTGCCGAGCTGGAGAATCTGCTGGGCGACACGGAGCGTGCGCGGGCCATCTTCGAGCTGGCCGTGCAGCAGCCACGCCTCGACATGCCCGAGCTGCTGTGGAAGGCCTACATTGACTTTGAGGTCGCCCTCGGCGAAACGGAGCTGGCACGGCAGCTGTACGAGCGCCTGCTCGAGCGCACGCAGCACGTGAAGGTCTGGATGTCGTTTGCCAAATTCGAGATGGGCATCAGTCATGGCCAGGGCGACGGCGATCCGGATGCCGATCTGAATGTGCGTCTGGCGCGTCGCATTTACGAGCGAGCCAACGATACGCTGCGTCAGCTGAACGACAAAGATTCGCGCGTCCTGCTCCTGGAGGCGTGGCGCGACTTTGAGCGCGACGTCAATGACCCGCAGTCGCTGCAGAAGGTGCTGGACAAGATGCCGCGACGCATCAAGAAGCGCCAGAAGATCGTCTCCGACGACGGTGTCGACGAGGGCTGGGAGGAGGTCTTCGACTACATATTCCCCGAGGACGAGATGGCACGACCCAATCTCAAGCTCCTTGCCGCCGCCAAAATGTGGAAGAAACAGAAGAACAACGACGCGGACACGGACACTAACCCAACGGCAGCGGAACCTGCAGCACCTGAGCCAGCAGCAGAGGAAGACACCGCACAGACATAGTGTGAAGAGATCCTTCCATTCCGAATGCCCATCAAATAAAAACTCTAATGTAAATGGCGAGCAGTGTTTGAATTTTGATATTAAGACTTGGATTAGAGTTAATATTGGTACAGTGTTAGCTGACTAAGGGAAACTTGCTGAGAGATATCACGAGCATGTGATTGAGTTATAGACTAAACATCTCAAGAGCTGACACTATAGGCAGACATGGCTGTACGGCCTATAGGGTTCTAGCTTTGGTGGTATTACTGTTTATATATGTGGTTTTAAAATGCGAATTTCCTGCGAATTAGTTCTGGTATCATATTATATAATCAATCACTGTTTACATATATGTATATGTATATATAGATACTATATAAACTATCCAATTTCTATATATACCTTTATATATAATATCATGCAAACAATCTTTGTCCATATATACATACATAGATATGCATATACATATACATATGCATATATCTACGATATGAAATGTAATAGGAAATTCGGCAAATGGAGAAGTCTATTTAGTAATGCGTCTAGCCCAAGTAACTTAAGCTCTCTAGTCTAGTATTTGGTTGCATTGTTATGACTGTTCTATTAAGCGATGCCTTCTATGTTTGGATCTATATATACTATGAGCCAAATAGATCGTATCTTATAGCTTACTAGACATCTAAGTGTTTCTTGACATCCACATCTATATACATATGTATATATGATAGATATCCTATTGCAATATCTTCTGCTTTAACTATATATGTATATAGAACTACATATATTTTTTTCGAATCAATCTCTACACACATTTCTATAGCTATGTCTATATCCCTATATCTACATATATCTTTCTCCCATCTTCACCTATATTTCATATTGTATGGCTATAGCTACATATATGTCCTTGATCTGAACTCTTCCCTGACTAATGGGTAGCTCTGCTCGTATGTGTATAAAGTTGCTCCAGCTTCATTAAATTGACTTTCTTCCCGATCACTTGGCGCGCAGCAGGAGCGTAAAGACGGAATAGGTCGATCGGATGACCTAGGAAAAGAGAATCGATAGGATTACAGAGCTCAACTGAAATGGAGGCCATAAGAGGGGGGCACCTGCTCGAAGGTCTCCAGGGTGACGGCTATGTAGCCGCCGGCATAGATGCAGAACGTCCTCTGGCTGCGCATCAGCGTGAAGATCAGCAAGCGGCGGAACCGCGGCGACTGATCCAGCCAGTTGCAGGCGTAGAAGGCGTCGCACAGCTGCTCGCTCTGGCTGCGCATGCGGTCGCCGAAGTAGCAGATGATGAACACCTCCAGGGTGACAGCCAGGAAGAACACCGAGGAGAGCATCATGGCGGAGAGATCGTGCGAGTCGGCCACATAGAGGAAGTGCATGGCCACGGTGCACTGAACGGTGGCCGTGCAGAGGAACTGGGCGAGGCAGGCGATCGAGAGGATCTGCTGGATGGTGGCGTGCAGCTGGATGATGTGTATGAAGTCCTCGATGCAGTCGTGCAGCTCCAGCTGCACGATGCGGCACCGGGACGGGCAATCGGGATGGCCCGGATAGCCGAGGCGGCGCACGCGCAGCTCCAGGGCGCGCATGTGGCCCGTGAGCACGCAGAGATATGCCGGCGGGTAGGAGTCGTTGGCACAGTCCTGGACGGCCTGGACGATCAGGCCGAACAGCTGATAGCAGCAGATGCAGACGTACGCCAGATCCGAGCTGAGCCAGTCGACGGCGAACCAAGCGGGGTAGAGTAGCTGGCGCTCCTTCGCTATGGCCACCCGGATGCAGCTGAGCAGGGTGCCGACGACAAAGATGCCGGCGAAGATGCGAAAGCTTCTCCTCGCCGTGCCGACAGCCTGCCGCAGGGCTAGCAGCTCCTCGGGATGCTGCACGCTCAGCACCCGCCTGTCCAGCACCTGGAGCAGCTCGCGTATCCGATCGAGATGCCGGCGCACCAGGAACACATTGATGAACTTGAAGTTGGCCGCAATGTCGGTGATCGTAATGGTCAGATTCTCGCACAGCTCCTGCATATTGCGCGTCAGGATGAGCCGCGCCAGCAGCGTCAGCGGGAACAGCAAGGTGACCAGCACGTTCAGCGTGATGGCCCGGAGCAGGTACCTCAACCGGGCCATGCCCGAGGGCCGTATCAAGCCAGTTAGCTCCCAAACGCGCCAATGATAGCTGAGCGCCTCATGAGTGTCCAGCAGCCGCTTCCTGTCCAGCTCGAGTTCCCTCAACTGCTGCGCTCCCATCTCGTCTGCCTTTTGACCGTTGGACGCCTCCACCAGGGGCATTTATAGCTGTCACCTAGGCAGGCACAGAGGTGCAGCAAGCTGTCCAACTTCCCACTATTTGGGAGCAATTATGGCGCCATTATAGACCTAGCGGGAGGGAGGGAGCGAGCGAGACCACCCAAGCAAAATTTCACCATAATCGTAATTTGTTTATCGTTTTATTATCCAAAAGTTCATCAAAGGTGTGGGGCTGAGTGTGTTGGGATGGCATGCGCTTATCAAGCAATCAACCGTTACTTAAACGCTGCACAATTTGAATACGCAATGCGATCCTGCAGCGAAATGTCCTCGAGACAATTACAGGATAATTTGTAGGGCAGCAAATTCTGATGATGCGATGCAAATGCATGGTGTCGCTATGTGTGTGTGTGTGTCTGTGTGTGTGTGTGTGGACACAGGTGCAGAAATTGACAACATTCGAGCAAACAATTTGCTCAATTCCTGCCTAAGATGGGCGTAAATACTTAACAAAATCCCTTCCAATAGAAGGATTCTACCAGCTCGAACTATTTCTAGGACAAGTGCTATAAGACCTTAGGCATTATAGTACTCTTACTAATCTTAACTAGTTAAGTGGAGCCAAAGCTGATCAGGTAGAACTAAGAAACTAAGCCTAAAAGAAAGTATTCCTCGCAGATATTATAATGCAGTAAATTCAACATAAATTCCATTTTAGAAACATTGAAATGCTGTTTTGTGTGCTGAGCGCCTTCAACTAGGTGATATGTGTGTGTGTGTGTGTGTGTGAGTGTGTGAGTGTTTCTATATACGATACGTTACGAGTATATAAAGGTTTGTCTTTGGAACACAATAGCCTAATTAAAGTAATATTTAGAAATCTAGCTGACTCTATCAAAACTTTGATTGGAGTCGGCTCCGGGCTAACTCTAAACTTAGTCTAAAGAAAATGTTTGGCTAAACTGAAATTGCTTGAAAGTTGACGCCCATCTCAACATTTTGTTAAATGGATCAAGAATACTATATATGTATGTATGTATAGTGCCTCTTACATATATAGGAGTGAGTGAGAGTGTGCGTGTGTGTTTCGTTTTGTATATATGTATATATATTTATGTATATAATTGCATACATATGCGACAATGTATGCATGCATGTATGTGTGTATGTGTAGGCAATATTAACATAGTTTTAGCTCATTTACATAATATAAAGATATAAAGATTTATATGTATGTATGTGTATATATATATATATGTATATGTGATATAGACATAGTTCAGTATGTACATAGGAATTGCAAAATTAATTCAATCTATAAGCAATTTAAAGCTATGCTGGAGGGATGCGGATGCGGATGTTCTTCGGGCTACAGCAAAACAAACACAAATCGATTGGACGCACATACAAAAAATACAATAAATTAACAGTTTTTTTTTTTTGTTTTTTGGGATTTTAGGGGGAATACGACGTAAATTTCACTTAGCTCGGTAACTTAATTTGTAATTTTTAAGAATTAATTTAGAAATACAATTAAGCAAACAGAGACAAAATAATTAGTCTAGAGAGAAACATGGTAATTCTTTCAAAGCTTTTCCGTATTCTCGATTTTTTTTTTTTCTTTTTGTTTTATAATTTATAAATTGAGCATAATGTTGATTATGGAAAAAGCGTTGCAAAAGCGAAATTGGAAAATATTTAGCTAGTTTTACAAATAGTCGATATACTCGTTTTGCACAGGTTTACAATTATATATATATATATATATATATATATATATATATATATATATATATAT